ATATATTATTATATCTAAAGAAAGGTTGTGTACAAGTGCAAGACACGAGTCTATTTCCTTGTGTAGGTCCAGATTGGACGATACAAGCTCTCTTCTTCTCTCTCTCTCTTTCTCAGTCAGTCAATCTGTCTGTCTCTCTATATATACATGTATATATACACAAAGCTGGTTGTAACGGAGTACTTACGTTACAATTTTCGGTACTTTTACTGTACTCCGGTACATTTTTTTGAACCAGTACTTTTACTGTACTCCGATACTTTTTATAAAAGTACTTTTGAGTATTTTTAAAGTACATTTTGAGTACTTTTGAAGCTTAATGAAAGGGTAAGTGCCGGCATTTTTTATAATAATTTACAGAACAAACACCCGGGCGGGCACAGCCGATCAACCAAGAGTTAAAAGTTAAGATCAAAGTACGGCCCGTCGCGTCAAAGATCAGCCACTCTCGTGAATGTGATCACACAAGCGTTGTAAAACTCCATGAAACGGTACAATGTTTGCCGCAGACGGGATCACACCGAGGTGTGAACTGATCGATGCGTTTCTTTTCCTCAAACATCGCACTTGCATCTGAGCTCGCCACCTAAACTTACATCACTCGCTGGGTGGGTAGGGCCTACAAGTTCGCCTAAGGAGGGATCACATCGAACTGTGAACTCTTCCCTGACCATTGAAAGCAGTTTTCTCTATTCCCGAAATTGTGAGACAGCCTGAATTTTAATTGGTGTGGTCACAACGTAATGGTGCGTAACGACAAAGGTGGGGAAACTCAATCAGAGATGGAAAGCTAAAATTGTTGGACAGGTAAAGGGGGGGGGGCAACTGGATAAACGTAGATAAAGATTTCAAGACTCACGATAGGCTAATGAGTATACATGTATATGGCATGCCTCAGGCTACTGTGATTGGCCATAATGGTTGACCACTCTTTGCTCGCTATATATGTCGTAAACCTACCCAGGGGTCACGTCAGTTCATGGGTCACTGTCTAGGCTTTCTCAGTTCAGACTGAGAAGGCCTAGGTCACTGTACATTCTTCCTTTGCTTCGTCGGCTAAGATCCCGTATTCCCCTTGCTCCCGGGCACTGGGATCTCAGTTAAACTACTGCAGTAGAGAATCTTATGTTATACTCAAGGAATACTGTATCAAGGAGTACTGTATCGTACTCCTTGGTTATACTTTATACTACACTTTCTAGACTATGAAACTACACGTATTTTGGTTTGCCTTGGACTACACAGAGTGATCAAAATCGGTCTTACCACTATAATCAAATGAAGCTGAGCTCTCAATGTACATGTATATATCTAACAATTTTTTAGGCCACCTAAATTTCTTTTAAACTTTTTTTTGGTGATTTTTGCTTAAGGCTACATTGATTACTTGAGGATTTCTTAATGAAGAATTCAATTCACCTTTCCATCTATGCTGGCCATTTCCATCAATTTTATGTTTTCTTAAGATCAACTTTGTGATCTTACATTTTTCCAATTTGGATATTTTTCCTGTAGAACTTTCCGACCTCTTGAACTGACTTACATTTGATCACATTGTCTTGCTCAAACAAGTTCTATTCATAATATCATTTACACACTAGTTGCCTCTGTTTTGTTTTTTAAAATTTCACGGACCATTTCCACCTACGTTCAGTGCGTACATTGTATATTCAAATGATTGGTATACTGTTTACATTTTTAGTAATAAATGGCCTAATTTGTCAAATGTACTGGATATGTTATTAATTTGATGTTTTGCATTAGCACTGAAGTGTTTTAGCATATTAGCAAAAAGTACTCGAGTCAAAATGTACTCTTAAGTACTTTTTTTAAAAAGTACTTGTACTCAAGTACATTTTACAGGAAAGTACTTTTACTGTACTTAAGCACATTTTTTAGATTGTACTTAAGTACTTTTTAAAAAGTACTTTAACAGCTCTGTATATACATGTCTCTATATATCTATCCATCCTCCTTCTTTTTTATGTGTTTTAATCTCTTGTAACGCCTCTAATCTTCGGCACTCATATAACGTAAGTGCCGTAAAATGTTTACTAAAACATCTCTCTCTCTCTCTCTCTCTCTCTCTCTCTCTCTCTCTCTCTCTCTCTCTCTCTCTCTCTCTCTCTTTATCTCACTCTCTCTATCTCTTTTTGTCTATCTGTCAGTGAGTACTTGGTTGGTGCTCTGGTATGGTTTGCTTCTTTTTTCCCTATCAAGCAACTATCGTCTTTATCCCCCCTTCTTCTTTTTGTGTTTGTTATTCTTGTGTAACTCCTCTAATCTTCGGCATTTATATGACCTTTTTTA